AGCACTGTGGCCACACAAGTCCTGAAGCTCTATATTTACTTTTCTCCTTATTTCCTGAATTGTCTGAAAAGTGTTTTTAGGAGTACTTTCTGAGAAAATGGGGGTAGAGCAAATCCTCCACCTTCTCTCCTTTTAAAAAATACCTAAAATGTAAGAGAAATTAATGTTTTTTTTGTTTTTTTTAAAAAGAACTATACACAACAGCTTATGCTAAAATTCAAATTGGTGCGGAATTTCTTTCCAAAAAGGTTTCACTTTTGGGTTTGGATACAGTTAAAGACTAAAATATATATTACTGATTGTCCCTGTGGGATATCTTGTATCCTGGGGTCATTTGCACACCATTCTTGTGCCTATGCTACTACCCACCGACTCATCTGTGGGCGCTGCTCAGTATACAGATCACAACTTCTTTGTGGCCTTGACTCTGTATCCATTTGACATGAGTCTTTTTTTTTTTTTTCCAAAGGGGGGTTTGATGGTCTACAAATAAACTTATCTCCTTGCATTGACCCTGTGATAAACAAATACTCCTTAATATTTTTAAACGGGTCTTTGGATGAAGTTGACTTCTATCACGCATACCAAATTATTTCCCTGCTGTATTGCTGATTAATTTTGGTTGCAGCTTGCTTGAAGGCCTTTAAACATAAATCCCAATTTCACACTTTTGGTTGTCCTGTGCTCTGGGAGAAATATATATTTTATATTGAAGACCCCTCTGCCCCCCCAAAAAAGACAAAATTACATTGGGATAAGAATAATATAGAACAAGTTTGTTAAAACGTGTCTCACGGTGATCAAGCTGATGATGATCCCAATGAAGTTAGAACATTGCAGGCCATTTAATTTTTTTTCCCAAACTTTTCTTTCCCAGACCTGGTTCCGTTGTTCCTACAAATTTGTTTCAAGGAATTAAAACAATTAATCCAACGTTTCGAGGCTACTCCCAACAGGTAAACCTTTCTTAGTATTATCCAGTATTATGACAATGAAGTGTCAAAAGTATAACTGCATGATTCAGGTAGACTAAATTGTCAGATTCAAAACTTGATAAAGTAGAAAAATATGTATTTAAACCAAGCTAATCATAAATTTTTAGTTTTTACCTTTCCATGCTTTAAATCTATATCCCCTAAAACTCCTCTCTAACTTTTCTGAATCACAGACTTCTGTGCTGGATTCTGTTGACAAACTGCTGAAAGGCCCCGTGATCCTTATGAATGTCTTCTTTCCCTGGGACAAGCAGCAGAATGGTTAATATCAAAAACTATGTTAATTTACTATTTGAATATTTTTAAGCTGAGTTGCTAGTATCCAGTTTTTTGTTTAGACAATGAGCCCACATCTTTTCTTTTCAATGTTACTGGTTTACAGCATACTGTATACTGAACACTTGTGTCCTCCATCTCTTGTATAGGTAGTAATTACTTGTAGTGGGCAGGCATTGGTGGTTATGTGACTGAATTATATTGTAGGTGCATTCTTCAAATCATCTTTAATGAAGTGTGTTCTAACATACCTATTTTACTGTTGTAAACATATTTTATTAAAAGCCCTATTGTGGGGACCACATTTAATTTCCAATTTAAGAAAGAACCAGATCCTTAATAATTTTGTCAGATTCTCTGCATTGCAGTAGTTTATATTGGAAAACTTTGGTAATTCAGTATAATGAAGTTAGCAAGTGAAATGGAGGGTTAAACTGTATTTTTGATATACAAATAGTGTCGGTGGTGTCAAGGGAGTGTTAAAATAGCAAACCTCAGAATTGTTGTAGATGCTTTTCATTATTACTGACACTCTAACTTACTGTTGTGTCCAGGGTATCCAAAATTTATTCATGTACCTAAACGAAGAAATTAATGCACTAATTTAGGGGAAAATGGGAAAATCGTCTGCAGCTTTATTAAGATACATTTCCTCAGGGGAATTTAGTCCTTGCAAGCTAAAATTTGGAATGAGCGTAACATTCTGTACTCCCTTAAGTATTTAAGGGGAGACCCCAATGTTCTTCCTCAACACATCACCCTAAGCTACTCACTAGGTCCCCCCCGCCCTCCAAAACCCCCCCGAAATCTGGTCTTTTGTGTGCTTTTACCCTATACTATACAGATTTCACAGGGGAGACCAGCATTTCTCAAATTGGGGGCCCTGACCCAAAAGGGAGCTGCAGGGGAGTCACAAGGTTATTTTAGGGAAGATCGCAGGATTGCCACCCATACATCTGCGCTGCTGCTGCCTTCAGAACTGGGCGGGTGGAGAGTGGTGGCTGCTGACTGAGGGCCCAGGTCTGCAGGCAGCAGTGCAGAAGTAAGGGAGACATGGGATGGTAATACCATACCATGCCATCCTTACTTCTGCTCTGCTGCTGACGGCGGCTCTGCCTTGAGAGCTGGGATCCCAGCCAGCAGCTGCCGCTCTCCAGCTGCACAGCTCTGAAGGCAGTGCCACCACCAGCAGCAGTGCAGAAATAAGGGTAGCAGTACTGCAACCTCCCCTACAATATCCTTGCAACTCCTCCCCCCTCAAACACCTTTTTGGGTCAGGATCCGTACAATTACAGCACTGTGAAATTTCAGATTTAAATAGCTGAAATCATGAAATTTATGATCTTTAGACTCCTATGACCATGAAATTGACCAAAATGGACTGAATTTGGTAGTGCCCTAGGAATAACATAGTGAAGGCAGGGAGCTGTGCAGCCTGGAAATTGTTGTTATTCTCGTCCTCAAAAGGCAATTGCAGGGGAGCTGGGAATCTGAGAATGATGCCCTTGCTGGACCACTGAGGGGAAATACAGGTGCAGTAGCCCTGAACTGCGACAGTATCTCTCCCCCTAAAAGAATTACCAGCCATGGCAAATAGGTCAAAAGTTTTAAATTTACATGTGTACAGATCATTAGGCTGAGGGAGAGTCCCGGAAACCAAACAGTGGTGACACTAATAATTTGTAAGTAAGTAACAAAATGATTATGTACCAAACTCCTGTTAAACCCACCACCAGTGGACCAACAGATACCCTCTTAATAAATAGCTACTTGTGCAACAAGAATAAACGATGGCTAAGAACAACAAAACTAGGAATTAATGAATGAAGATGGAAGCACCAGAAACCAGGAAGAGGTCAAACTTCTGCCCCTTTCCTGCTCTTATAAGACCAGCAGTGAGCTCAAGCTGAAAGTAAGCCAGCAGTGCCATTGCCACTGTAGCCCACCTACTCCTTCCACAAGAAGTTGCTGAGCTGTTAGAGAATGAATCTACAACACTCCCTTTGTTTCCTTCTCCTGTCCAGGCAAATCTGGAACAGCTGGAGGGCTGGGACAAATTAAAGTCGATTCTTTTGAAAGGTGCAAATGTGGTTTCCCTGACCAGTGTACGTAAGGCACTGATTGGGTGTTGCAAAAAAAAGTTTGAAAACCTTATATGATGAGGTTAGATTCCTTTACCGACAACCTCTACTAACTGTACAGCTGGGAGCTAACCAGGTACTTGGTTGTTGCTTGTATTAGGATGCACATGTCATTGTGATGGTTCTTGGGGTACCCAGGACTGAGAGTCACCTTGTTATTCTATATTCTATGATACCCCCTGCCTCCAAACTGAGAGAGTCTCACCTATGCCTGGCTGTTCCTTACCACCATTAGCCTTTCAGCCACTTGAACACTTTCCCCTGGGCTATGCCAGCCGAGTCTACACCTTGCAGGTTAACAAAAGGTGCACCCCAGTACATTTGAATCAGTCCTCTGTGATATGCTGCCCTGGACACAGACTACTCACAGAAATCCCAGATCCTCTGCCGCCAGAGGTGCAATGTGTCCCAGTTTACTAATTTTACCTTAAATCGCTGCTCCTATAAATCAGACAGCACTTGTGAACCACTTGCAGTAAAACAAAAGTAGATATTTTTAAGAAAGAATAAAGATTTAACTACAAACAAGAGACGTGGAAACAAATAGCTATAATACAAAACAAAATCAAAATGTGAAGGTCATCTACATTTATTAATTACCTTTCCTAGCTAATAAAGTAAGTTTCCCACTCCCCGATGTTCAGTCTGTTTCAGAACTTTACAGAAACCAGGATCCAATTTTTCATGAGAATACCTTGTTCCTCAAGATGTCTTCTCAGTGGAAGGATGCAGAGTACCTTTCCCTCCTTTTTGTTATCCTGAAAGTTTTTTGTTTCTGTTCATAGACAAGGTGAACCCCTATTTTGTCATAATGTTTCTTTTTTTCCTTCAGGTGGTTTTGATTGTTTGCATTTGCCTCTGATGGTTTTCCATTGGAAGTTTTGTACTGAGCAAGGCTGAACAATTGAGCCTTGCATTGCATCAGTGGCAAAACAGGGTGGGGTGGCAACTCCCTGCTGCTGAATAGGCTGTCACTGAGACATTATCCTCTGGTGACTAACATTTACTTCAAGTCAGTAACACATATTTTCAACATAAATATTACCCATACATACACTTTGCAGTGATTATGAATCTTGATGAGTTATGAGCTTTCTGTAGCTACCTTACATTTTACTATTTATAGATAAATATCCTGTAAGATATGTTTGGTGTAGTGACTTTGTCAGGCCTGAGGTAAGTGTTATTTGCAAAGAACAGGCGACCCTTTGCCAAGGAGCCTCGGTGTCACAGAGACCACAGAAGAAATATTTTAACAATTAAAATATCCTGGCACAGAGTATAAACTTTGTGATGAGTGAAAGCTTGAGAAGGAAAGTTGCCAAGTAAGACTCGTGACATGGAATGGAACTCGATGTAGGAGGTTACAAAATCCAAAATGAAATATTATTTGGACTGACAGTCTAATTCTCTTTTGCACCCCAGACTGGGCAGGTGGCATTTACTTTGTTTTTACTCCTTTGATTTAGTGGCCAGCTTTAGCTTTTTGTTGTTTCGACACCACTATGTGCATATCTTCTAAATATAAAAGGGGATTATGTACCTATTTTAAATTCCAGGATGCACAAGAATTCCTGCGTTGTTTAATGGATCTGCTTCATGAAGAGCTAAAGGAACCTGTCATGGAAATAGAAGATACCCATTCTACAAGTATAGAAGAGAGTATGGAAGAAGACAAGAACCAGTCAGATGTAGATTTCCAGTCCTGTGAATCTTGTGGTAGCAGTGATAAGGCAGAAAATGAGGCTGGTTCCAGACCATTCTCAGAGGACTATGCAGAGGCTACTATGTTAATTCAAGATGTTGAAAACCACTCCCTCACAACTAAAGATTGGCAGAAAGAAAAAACACCGTGTAATAAGTTTAACCGAGCAAGTTCTATGGAGGATTTAAAAAAAGACAAAAACGCTGCTTCAGAAACTGCTGAATTTTTACATAATCCAGGAACAGTCAAAGTGCAAATACACAGCAGAATTTCAGGTGACTATGATCAGTTGCTAATTTGTAATTATAACAAAATCATACTTGTAGCTGAAATGCATGTAAAAGTAAAAATGAGGGAAACCATTTTAGATGTATAACTTGTCATGTATCGCACGAGAGTAGATTGGTTTTTAAACTGGTGCTCAGGTTCATTAATGTGGTACTTCGATTATGTTTGTTTAATCCATTTTGAAGTCCAGTGACTATTTACCAGCTATTCAAGATTTGTAACAATTGGAAGACTTCAGATAACATTACAATTGGTGATTGCTTTTGGATTTTTTTGGCTCATTATTTCTGCTTTAACAGTTGCTGAATTAAAACTTAATTTTCTTATGCACAAGCATTTAATCAGTCACCTACTGGTGTGCTGAAATGTAAGTTATCTAACTATTTTGCAGTTCAACCTGAAGCAAAACTTTACTGTTGGAAAAATTCAGCTGTGCAGTAATACAAATTTCTGTTGCAGACTATATCAGTGATGTCCACATGACTGATCTGTCAGGACCGCAAAGCCCTCCCTCAAACGAAGGAGTGAATACACGTTTATCAACCTCTCCTCCAAAATCAGGCTCATTATGGTCTGGATTGGCACCTGCACACAAAAAAGGTATATGCTTTTTCTCCTTGCATTGCCTTGCTCATAAGTGTGCCATTAATTTAATTTTTTGTTGTTGTTTTTTAATTTTGGTATTTAATATTGACGCTGCATGTGCTTCCAGGCCTCTAGTTAGAGATTTGACACCATGTTAATGGGGTACAGAGCTTCTCATGATTTTCTACGTCACTGTCTCTTTTCACTTTATTGGAGAATGGTGCATCACTACCAGTCGCTATAAGCAACTGTGTATTCATAGCGCTTCCTGCCTCTCCAGTTGTTTTTGTCTCCTTGCTCTTAAAGCATGGAGCAATATTTCTTGATCTTTCTTTAATAGCACCTGATTGGAGAAATGGAGGTGGAGGGAAGAATGCTCATAGAAGGAAAAAAGGTGCGTGTTTAGAGGAGAGTCTGGGAAGGAGCTCATTGGGTACTCAAGGGAGAGGATTCTTGCAGGAACAAGGCATCAGTTGAGTTTCCCAGGGTGAAAGATCTCATGCCTGTCCCTACTGCTCTAGGCAAGTTCACCCATTGGAACAGTCCTAATTTCTGCAGACCACACAGAGAGTCTGTTTAGGCTGCATCTATTCTACAGTCTACTCATCAGTAATAGGTCAGCACCTGAAAGGGCTAGGCTCTCACTGACTGCAGGGTTGGCTCTGACACAGTGCTCCTTCTCCATTACTGCAGTCTCTCAGCAGCAGGAATATGTTTTTATAGCAGTTTCTTCTGCCTCTACAAGAGGTTCTCCTACTTTGTACCCTGGCTGCATCTCTCTGTGTGGTCCCTTTATAGAGTTGACACCAAAATGCAAATCCTCCAGCAGGGGCAGCTCTTTCTTACTCCACTCCTTGAGGTACCTGATCCCTTTCTTTCATCTGGATGAACCCATGAACAGCTTGGCAGAGATGTGATCTGAAGTCCCATTCTAGCAGATCTTCTCCCCACCATCTGTCACAGCTTTAACTCCCAGGGACCCTGAGCATGCTTGGATTACAGGCAGCCTACTCAAAGCATTAGGAAGTTGATCGTGATCTCAACCAAACTTCCAGAAATTTCCCACTCTGACAGACTTGCAGTTCCCTCATCTGTGGAAGAGGTGGTCAGCCTAATAGCTGGTCTCTCTCCAGCCATCAGCAGGAGTCTGAGCAATTTCAATGGAAAGCCACTCTGGTACTCTGCTTCATTATACTCCCTTTCCTTTGCTGAGGATCTGGACAACAGTGGTGTTTCAGACATGGCCCAGAGGGGTTGCCTGCGTCCCCCTTTTGGGATTGTTGCCAATGTGCAATACTCTATAGTGTGATAATTCATTGATGTAAATGAGTTTGAGTTTTTGAGTTTGCTGCATAATTGTGCTTCAAAATCTGAGCATTCATGAATAATTGTTAAAGATTTATTTATTTATGGTTGTGAAGAAAACCTTCATACAGTGATGCCTGCTATATTTGGCAAACAGACAAATACCACAGCTCTCAAAAAGATGTTAACTGACCCCTTCATGTTGATGGTGTGTCAGCACTGAAGTCTAACAAGAATCATTTAAATGGCAACATTGTATCACTCCTGGTTAGCTTTCCAGAAATATCAGTCTAATGCCATAATTGTGTGTAGTGGAAGATATGGGGCAGATTGCAGTGAGGCTAGTGTCAAGGTTTGCTGGGCTGGGGAATGAGAAATTCATCCTTCCTCACTCGGATGTAAAGTTACCTCCATCTTTGTTCAGAGTGGAAACAATAGAGATCTGTCCCCTGCCCTGTAACAGTCTCAACTCGCTCCTAGTTGCCAAAAGCAAAACTGTCTCCTGTGCCTTCCTGACTCTCATGAGGCCAAACTGTCCTCTACCCAGAAACCAACACCTTTCTCTCCCCCCTCTCTCCCCCTGCCCCCAACTACATCTGTCATGCATTTTCAGTATGGAAATCTCTGGCAAATTGAAAATGTGAGGTGTTCTAAAACAGTTTAATATCAAAATACATGACTGAAGAATACTTCACTGGGGTCAGGAAGTGGGGCATTGCTGCATAACTCGTGGGTCCCTGCATACTGCACATCTAAAGTGCCACATGAAAAGAGGACTTGCTAGTGAGCTTTCTTGTTTGCTGACTTTTCTTCCTGCCAGTATTCTCTCTTCAGATCCAAACTCTTCCCTTCTCCAAGCCTGTTTCAGCTAGAAATGAGTCAGGGAGGCAATTTTAGTTACATGAGACAGCAG